ACCATACCTTATGCGTATCCACTTGGCCCCCAGGGGCCCCCCCAGAGAAGGGTATGGGAGCGGGGGGGGGTGAACGGGGAGGGGTTGGCATCTCTCTTGGGCAGCTGCCCACTCTAAGGAGGGAAGCCCGCCTCCTCCAGGAAAGGGCAGGTCAGTGGGTGGTCTCCCTGGGCCAGGAAGACGTTGGCCAGCCTGCCCCACGTGGGCCGATGCCCATCCTGGCCTCATGAAGGGCCACCTCCGCTGCCTGCCGGGAGAGGACTGCCTCCTTCCTCGGAGGGGGCTTATGGGTGTGTGTGTGTGTGTGTGTGTGCCGTGGGGCGGGCGGGCGTCAGGAAGAGCTGTGCCCGTGAGCCGATCGCTGGGACCCACTCTAAGAGCGTCCCCCCCACACACACACACCCAGATCCGACCACGACCATCGCCGCCGCCATAGCCGTTTCCCTTTGGCCTGCAGGCCCTGGGCGAAGAGGGGTTCCCTCTGGGCTTCGGGGCTCAACGAGCGGACTCACCGCTGAAGTGCGGCGTTTTAATTGGTGTCCCTAATCGTCCTCGTTCTTCGCATCGCCAGCAAGATCGATCTTCCCTCCACCTAAGGAAAGGGTGCCTGGGAAGCCGCTGCCATCGGCGGGCCTTCCTGGGATCAAATCTCGTGGGGCTCTGTGGGCCTTTGTGCCTAGGAAAGCTGCGGGGCAAGGGGACCGCAAACCCCGGAAGGCGCACAGAGGAGAGGAATATGCGAGGGATCGGGCTGACATGCTCCCTTCTTGCCCGGTTGAGTCTAAACCTGTATTTCGTGACCGTGGGAAAGACCCAAGATCACGAAATACAGGATCGAGCCGCCAAGTTGTTCCAGCTTCCTTTCCCTGAGGAAAGTTGATTCGAAGGAAGAGGGTTTGTTGAACCATCGCGACCTAAAATAGGGGGGCTTGGGGGGGAGGAGGGAGTTACAAGCAACTGACAACGAAGACCCTAGTTACTTTGAGGATGCAAAGCCCGATCCAGGGAAGCTGTAGCTCCCCGACCCCATAGAGACGGAACCCCCAGCAAACCCCCAGATCCGCTCGAGTGCTGCTCTTTGCTTGGCTTGACTTTAAGAATGACTGGCTGAAAAAGGAGGCTTGGAAGTGGCCCGAAAAAAACGCGCCGTTTGCAACGACCTGGGAAACGCCGTTCTCCCATCCAGAGCATCGCTAACTCTTGTCTTTCGCGGAGATCAAGATGACCTCCATCCTTGTACGGAAGCTTCTGAACAAAGCAACTTTATCCGTGTCTACTCAAAAAGGAGTCGCGTTAAAGTCGGGACCCCGTAAGGTAGCTGGGTCTAGGGGCCGCAGCCTCAAAGGTCAGCTTCTCTTCCTTACACTCACACGCCCCAACAAGGTCAGGCTATACCGCTGGATTTTTAAAAAATATCTTCCTATATTAATTTTGTGCTCGTTCTTTGATACCGTTGTCAACATGCTTAGAATCCGTTTTCCAGGAAGAAATCTGTGCGGAGCGAATAACTATATTGTCCTGTTCAGTGACCTGACCGCGTTTGAAGGATAAAGTAGAATTGCGCCTTCCCCCAAAAGAGCTTGGAGCGGGCACAGGGCTAGCCTCTCCGTGCCCCGTAATGCAAGCGTTCTTATTCCCGTCCGACCAGCCTTTCGCCTTGATGGAAAGACCGGATGGAGAGGCCTTACGAGGCGTCCTGGCTACCGATTCTGTTTGCGCGGCTTTTCCTTCTCAGGAAGGGGCTGAACTTCCAGCTCGATCTGTACTCCGGTCGACACAAAGCTACAGACTCAATGACCCCCCCACCCCACCCCCAGGCTCTGCTCTGATGAAGAAGAGAAGGGATGGCGTTGAGAATATGGGGGTGGCAGCTGGACGTGGGTTCCAGAGGGCTCCCTGCATTCTAGGGTGCCCCCCTTCCGAGTCTCCCGCCCACACCTCTTTGCTCAAAACAAAACCACCTTTAAGTTCTGGGATTTTGTAAATCTTCACCCTGCCGGAACCAGGTGCTTGTAGGGAGACGTTAGGTGCAGTGTTTGTTCGACGGGTCACACGTCTCTCCGCTCCATCCTGAAAGGTTGGCGGGGTAAGAGGAAAAATGGAAAGAAACCGGAGGGCCAAACACTTATCAGCCCCCCCTCGATATCAGAGGCAGATGCTGCGTCAAACCTACTCGATTTTCTCTTGGGTATCAAATCAACTGGACTTAACGGGATAAATCCTATACTGTACTATGTACGCATACACACAGAGAGAGATGCTGCACACGTGCATATAACGTTCCACTTCAGTCAGCCCTGACTGTATGCAGAACTTTATACACAGATGTACAACACGAATGTGTGATGTTCTGGTGAAGGTAGCCCTAACAGAGAAGGGAAAAGAACATGGCCCCTTCAGCCTCCCCTTATTTATTAAGGGTGGTCAACATCTTTTAATGGTTGTTGTGGGTTTTTCGGGCTCTTTAGCCGTGTTCTGAAGGTTGTTCTTCCTGACGTTTCGCCAGTCTCTGTGGCCGGCATCTTCAGAGGACAGCACTCTGTGCTCTGGTCATCTTTTAACTTCTGTGTGGCCTATGTCTTGTGAGATGCCACCTCGGTCTCCTTTATTCTGAGCAATCTGGAAGGGAACCATACAGGGAAATTTCTTCCGAATGCGTTCGGAGAGGAGTTAAATTGCATTCGTGGGTGCTAATGTGCCTTCTTCTCACGTGCTTGTGCAAAGCCTTGTCGCAGGAATGTTGCGGGGAGGAGCGGGGAAGAGGCAGCCCGGCCTGTGAGCATCATTCCCGCGCATAGGGTGGTCCATTCCAAGGCAGCACTGCTGTCGGTGTACATTAAAACAATAAATACACCGCGAAGTCCCCTGCGGATACCCTTGGCCTATTATACTTTAATGTTTCTACAGCAAGTGAGTGGTTTGCTTATCTCTACTCTTTTCCATTTAAAACCAAACAGAGAGTTAAAGAGGGGAGGCGAAAAAAATAAACACAGAGTAATGAATGAAGCAATCAGATAGAATCGAATTAGTTCGATCATGGATGCCAAGATATTTGTATGAGAGACACAGCGAAAAGAGAAGCCTTCCTTCCTTCCTTCCTTCCTTCCTTCCTTCCTTCCTTCCTTGCTTCCTTCCTTCCTTCCTTCCTTCTGGACTCTGCTCCTAAAAGAAAACAGTAAATAGCAGCTTTTCCATCAGACCATTGAACGGTTTCTGACTTGCCCGACTGTTCGGGGATAAGCCACCATCTCTAGATGGCCGAGGCACTGTATCCTCTTTTCAGCGTCGGGCAGCCAGAGATCCTGCCCTGGTTTATAATAACGCATCAAGAAGAGTTCCCGGTGTCCAACTGCAACCATAACATGCGATGGCCAACTACGTGAGTCCTTTGGAACCGGAAAGTTTGGGGCAACTGGGAAAAGTTTGGTGTAATTACTAATTAGCTTTTTCTTTCGCGTGAAAGGGCGCAGAGTTAAATTGGGTTCTGAGAACTAAGGTGCCTTCTTAGACGCCGAAGTACTCTTTTCTTCAAGTCTAGTGTTCGTTTTGCACTTGGCTGTGGCTGGTGTGCTTTGGAGCTCCAGGGGAAAAATCTCAACAAGCAAATCCGATAAGCTTGAATTCCGTGCGCGCCCCCCGCCCCCAGGATCCGATGTTCACGCATGGGGCTTGCCTTTGCTCTCTCCTCTGTCTCCAGTGGTTTTAAAGAGATCGCTGGCTCCTTATGACGTGGGGTCTCTGTTCAACTGGAGAATCTGCCACCTCCCTCACAGGGGCCAAAATTATTTCGCTACCCCAGGTCACCCTTCTAAGAAGAACACGAGGCGAGGTTAATGGGGAAGGGGGTGTCATAAATGAATACCAAGCCGATTTCCTGAAAGAAACTAGGGATGCGTTCCCTCCCCTCCCATCTTAGCAGATCTGCCAATGCTGCCGAAACAAAGCAGGAAGCGTCTTTTTTTTTTTTAAGTTCATTCATCTTCATCCAACTTCTCTCCCCTTTCCATTCCTCGCCTGCAAGAGACAGAAGGCAGGACGCTCAGGGAGCAGCGAGCGGACCCCAAGGCCGCCGGGTGACTTCGGCCACCTCACCCATTTCACGGACCCGCCCGCTCCTCCTCCTCCTTTAAGGAGACCAGCTCCCTACCGTGGAGAGATAAACGCCTAGGTATGAATAGGCTTTCTCCCCTTGAAGAGGGGGGTGCATCCCAGCGGATTCGGGATGGCCCTTTTATCCGAGGGAGCCTTCCGGAGGACCCTCACCCAAAAGCCCCTTCGTTGTCAGCACAGTTCAGGGGGCTTTCTCGAGATCCAAAGAGATCGCTCGGAACGCCGTGAAAGGAACTGCGCGTCAGCTTTGCTTGTTCATCATGGCCAGCCCTGCCTAATGCCACTTGGTCTAGGTGGGTCCCGTCTGTCCCAAGCAGCAGATCCACGGTCTGTCCCTGACTTTTGCGGTGCCTGGGCAGGGGGTCACTGCACAACAACTAATCATAGACGCCAGAGACTCTTTAAAGCCACCTAAACCGGTGGCGTAGGTCTCAGTAGTCAGTGAATTTATTTTGCAGCAATTTATTTTGCAGAAAGACGAACGCGTGGGTTCTAAACCCAATCGAGCCTGAACTCCCCTTGGAAGC